AATATCATTAAATGTAGCTCTGATAAAGCACAGTCCCTATTATGTATCACAAAGCAGGTACAAGATATTTTACATTCATAGAGGTATGATACAGTACCATCCTACATCAATAATACTAGAATCAGTTTTGGTTTGAAATTTACTTTGTCTGCAAATAAGATTGCTATCCCTGTTTTTTTCTGGGCTCCTGTCACATGGAGAATTGTTTTCTATCTTTTCACTTTCAGTCTATGGGCTTCTTTTTGCACTAGGTGTATTTCTTGTATATAACATATTGTTGGATTTTGCTTCTTATTCCATTCTGCCAGTCTATTTCTCTTGATGGCTGAGTTGAGGCCATTGACATTGATGGTTATAACTGATATGTACTGACTTACTGTTGACATGTTATTGACCTTTTGTTGACTCTTTTTACTTTTTCACCTTCTCCTTTTAATTTCTTGCCTTGCCTATTTGATTTGCTCTGTTGGGCCTCATGGTGTTGTTTCCTTCTTTGTCTTTTTCTAGGATCTTATTTAGAATTGCTTGTAGTGCTGGTTTGGTATTCATGTAGTTTCTCAGGTGTTCTTTGTTGTGGAAGTATCTTATTTCCCCATCCATTTTGAAAGAGAGTTTTGCAGGATACATCAGTCTAGGTTGGAGGTTGTTCTTTTAGTACTTGAAATATCTCATTCCAGACTCTCTTTGCCCCAAGGGTTTGTGTTGAAAAGTCTTCTTTCATTCTGATGGGCTTTCCTTTGTATGTGATCTGTTTCTTTTCTCTTACTGCTTGTAGTATTTTGTTCTTCTGTTGGGTTTCTGGGATCTTGATTATAATATGTCTAGGTGTAGATTTTTTTTGATCGTGGTTAGTTGGGGTCCTATATGCCTCATTTATCTGAATGTCAAATTCTTCCCCTCTGGGAGGTTTTGTCATTAATTTTCTGGGAGGTTTTCTGTCATTAATTCTGTGAACAGCTTTTTTAGGTCATTTGTATTTTCTCCTGCTACTTCATGGATTCCTATCAGTCTTATGTTATTCTTCTTTGCATCATCTAGGAGTTATTGGATTGATTTCTCATGATCCCTTACTGTTTTTAAGAGATCTCTCTTTTCATGGTCACTGACTGCAATCTTATCTTCTATATCTGAGAGTCTATCTTCGCATTCTTTTATTCTGTTGCGTACACTTTCTATGGAGTGTTTAATTTCCTGGATATCTGTTTGAATCTGTTTTATGGATTCCATTTCTTTACTATGTTGGGCGTTTATTTTTTCCATTTCTTTCTTATGCTGGGCCTTCATGGCTTCTATCATGGTCCTGAGCTCATCTATTTTTTTGTCAGTTTCTGCTCTAGAGTCTTGAATTGTGACTTCCATTTTGTTCACTATCTCTATGGTTATCTGGGAAATTATTTCCGTTTTGAATTTTTCTAGAGCCCGATTGATCTGTTTTGTTACTTCCTGTGCTTTGAGTTCAGGGTGTCCTGGTGGTTCATTTTTCATTCTCATTTGCCCTACTGTTTGCCATTGGTGAACTGGAGGTCTGTCCTTGTGTCTTGCTTAAGTGTTTTCTCATATTTATTTTTGTTGTCGGACTGTCCTTGGTTTAATCTCTGAATTATCACCCAAATCTTCCTGATATAGTTGTGCCCTAGCTTCTGTGTCTCTAACGACCCACAGACATTCTCATCTTCATAACATCAGAGAAAACAGCTCATCAAATCAACCGCAATGCTTTATCCCAACTAATACAATCAGCAACACATTAAGATCAAGCACAACTTGGAAAATGACCATCTGTGGTAGTCACTAGTCTATCACCCTTAAATCATTTGAATTAAATCGAAATCAAGAAGCAGTCCAGAACATGTCTGCTATGAACAAAATTTCAATATAGTGCATTTACTATTTAATGGCTCAGACAGAGCGAGGATGCAAGACCCCTGATCTCAGTTAGCTGATGGCTGAATCCCATGACGCTGACTGACCTCGGGCTGCAAGGCCCAGATTGAGTTCCCCAACCTTCTGAATGGTTGAACTCCACAACATTCTATTACAGGTTTCCCACGCCCTTTCTTTAAAGATGTTCAAAGTTGGGAACTCAGAAATATATCCTTGATGACCACCTCTGCCTCTGCAGCGTGGGTCCAAAGACTGGCACAGTCAGGAGGTCTGACAGTGTAGGGGGGGGGACGACTTATGGGGGCTCAGGGGCGTGGCTCTCCTTCCCGACCTTCAGGCGCTTGAGCGATGGCAGCTGGGGCGGGAGGTGTGGCTCCACGAAAATTTTGATGTCTGTTCTAGACACTCATTACACATAATATTTTATTTTATTGATATCTTATTTTCCTGCTAACTGTACATTGTATAATAACAATAGCACTGAGGATTTAGCTCAGTGGCACTGCACCTGCCTCACAAGAGCAAGGACCGGAGTTTGATCCCTGGTACAAAAAATAAAATAAAATAAAATAAACATGGGTAGTATACATCCACGTTTATGAGCCTGTATGACAAAATTGGCGTAATGCCCCCCAAAGGAAAAAAAAGAATTGAAGGGAAAATAATGGAAATAGAGCTTTTGTAAATGGGTAGGGAAAGGAGACAAAAAAAAAAAGAATTTAGATATATGTATGTACAAATTCACCATGATGAATGTGATCATTATGTACTGCAAACCTATACTAAAAAACACCCAAAACAACAACACTGTTTAAAAAGCCGGGCGTTGTGGCGCACGCCTGTAATCCCAGCACTCAGGAAGACAAGGGAGGAGATCGCTGCGAGTTTGACAGCACCCTGGGCTACCCAGTGAGTTCAAGGCCAGCGTGAACTACAAGTGAGACTCAAAAGAAAACAAAAACAAGTGGTAACTACCTCAGTGAACTCATCTCTCGCTTTGAACTCACTTTGGTTGGGCCGTTTCCCTGCACCTCAGTTTCTACTGTGGTCCTGTTTGGGCGCTGCACTTGGGTGCTTTCGGGTTCGCAATCTCGGGAGCGGTCTACAGCCGCGGCCTCAGGCGTTTCACAGCGGACTGTAGCGCTGTAGGGACCCAAGCCAAACGCCGCCAACCTGCTCGGGAGGCGAGCCCAGGCCCCACCCTTCGATGGTCCTGTTCCGCCCCCCCAACCCAGCTGGCAAGGCTCACGCGCTCCTTTAAGGCAGCGAGCCCGCCCAGAGCATTTTATTTCGCCCCCTCCGACGGCGCCGAGGTAGCGGCTTCACCTTTAAGGCAGCGCGGGGATTGCTGGGAAGGCCGGCGGGATGGAGACAGCAGGACCAGCTCCCAGCTGCGGTTCTGGGTGAAGCGGTGCGGGAGCCAGAGCTGGAGCCTTGCCTGATCCAGAAGCGCAGGTCGGCGCGGGCCGATTCTATCTGGAGAAGGGGTTTCAGACCCTGAAGGGGTGGGGCTGCAGGTCGACCTAAGGGAGGGGTCTTCGTGGGAGCGGCCTGTGTGAGGACTCAGCCTGCTCGTGGGAGGGGGCGCGGTCCTGCGGGGCAGGGGACCGGAGCTCGCGCCAGCCTATGGGAGGGGGTGTCCTGGGCGCGGCCAGGAGAAAGCAGGTCGGGAAACCTGAGAGCTCAGCTCCTCTAGGGGAGAGTTTGCGCGGGGTTGGCCTACCCTGGGGGAGGGGCTCTTCGGGTCCGACCTGCCTGTGAGGGAGGAAGGTGTCGTTGAGTTGGGGTCTGATCTCAAGGGGTCGGGGTTCGCCATGCGAGAGGGAACCCCTACCATTCAGTACGGCCGCCTGGTCTCCGTGTTCTGATTGGAGGAGTTTCGGGAAAGCCGCGAGACTGGGCCGCCTGAGCCGGTCTGAGCCGGTGGTCTGGGGCGGAATCAGGGTCTAGCCTCACCGGCTGCACCGCATTGCGTCTTCCTATAGGACATGAGGCTGAGGCGCCCCCTGTAGGCGGAGCGCGGGCACTGAGCGCGCGTACCGGCTGCTGGCTGGGGGACCTGGGCATCCTTGGGGACACAGGCATCCGGGAACGCCAGTGTTTACCTAATCCGGGGTGGACGGCGATGTGGCCCTAGGCCCGGGGGCCGCCTGCCCGCCCCTCATCTTCACAGGTGGCACGACTATGGCTACGATGGTGCTTCCACGGGAGGAGAAACTGACCCAGGATGAGATCGTGTTGGGCACCAAAGCTGTCATCCAGGGACTAGAGACCCTGCGCGGGGAGCATCGTGCCCTTCTCGCTCCCCTGACCTCGCATGAGGCCGGCGAGGCCGAACCTGGTTCTCAGGAGCGCTGTCTTCTCCTGCGACGCTCCCTGGAGGCCATTGAGCTGGGGCTAGGGGAGGCCCAGGTAGGTCCAGTCAGGGAGCCAATGTGGGAGGTCACAGAAGGGTATGATCCTTCCAGAGATAATGTAAGAACAGCATCTGAGAAACCACCAGTCTCCTAGATTCCCATCCGTGTTCGGGCTGCAAATACTTGTTGAAAAAAGTAATGCACTTTGCTCCGGAAGACCCTGAGCTCCCTCATCCCCGCATACAGCCCTGTTTCTGGCTCCTACCTAACAGAGACTGGAGAACAGAAAGGAAATCCTTAAGGAAAGCCCTCTTCATTCTTCCATTAATTTATTAAATTTCTAGTTTATCACATGCCGTAATGCACCAGGCAATATGTTAATGCCAGGTATACAGGATTCAAAAAGGCAGACAGGATCCCTGCCCAAATCCAGTAGGAAAAGAAAAATACACACAGGGCCAGGGATTTAGCTCAGCGGTTCGGTGGCCTGCCTTGGAAGCGCAAGGACCCGAGTTCAATCCCCAGTACCAAAAAAAAAAAAAAAGAAAAATACACACAGAAATAATTGTAACAAATTGACTAAGTTGTCCAATGCAAAGAATAAGATCTTGTGATAGCTTATAAAAGGAAATCTTGTCCATCAATCAGGCAGTACTTCTCTAAAGTAATGACATTTAAACTAAGAGTTGAAGGCAGAAATAACCAAGAGTTGAGCAGCCTCAACAAAAAGAAGTGGGAGGAGAAGTTACATGGACAAAGCTTCTGAGGCAGGATCTTGTAAGGGAAGTGAGAGAACTATGTGACTGTAGTTTCACATGGTAAGGAGAGAAGAAGACAGAAGAGGCCTTTGAAGAAACAGCCAGATCTAAATCCTGTTTTATTTCAAGAAACCAGGAAGCCTTTGGAGGGCTCTAAACAGGGAGGGGACATAGTCTGACTTAGGTTTTAGAAACTCTCTGAGACAGAATAAACCTGCTTTGTGGATGGAAGCAGGTAGCAAGTGGTTAGCTAGAAATCAAATGAGAGATAACAGCTTGGACCAGAGGGATGGTCACAAGGGTGGAGAGAAGAGTGCCAGTTCAAGATGTTCTGGAAGTGGGTCCTGTAGGACCTAGGCGTGACATAAGAAGAAGAGAGGAAGGGGTACTGTAAGTCTCAGATTATAATCTAGGTAAATTCAGAAATGGGAGACTGCTGCATCAGAGTTTTATTTTGGTCACCTAAATTGGGCTGCCAGGAGTAGATGAAGACAGAAATGTCTAAGAGACCTTTGGACGGGAGTTGGATTCTATGGGAAAGGGTTTTGCTTTCCTCAAATCTTAGCCAAATCATTGCTTGAAGCCTTGAATCCTGGGCAGGTTGTATCCTCTTGATTTCCTTGTCTTTAAAATAGGAATCATTGCCGGGCATGGTGGCGCATGCCAATAATCCCAGCACCTGGGAGGCTGAGGCAGGAGGATCATTGTGAGTTCGAGACCAGCCTGGGCTATATAGTGAGTTCCAGGCCAGTCTCTGCCCAGGCTATATAGTGAATTCGAGGCCAGTCTCCGCTACATAATGAGACCCTGTCTCAAAAAACTAAAAAAACTAAAAAAAAATTAAATAGGGATCATCTTGATTTGCTTGTCTTTAAAATAGGGATCATGCCATCTGTTGTACATACTTCTAGGCTGTTGAGGGAATTTTTTTAAAGCTAGTATTTTGTTTTGTTTTGTTTGTTGTTTATTTAAAGCTAGTACTTACGAAAACACCTGTCATTTAGATATTTGCTAACCAACTAGAAAACACAGGGTCCCAGACTGCCCAACCTTCTAAAAGGGCAACGTGTTGCCTCCTTAGCCAGTTGGCTATCAGATACAGAGATGGCCACACTGGAGCCCCACTCTTGGTGGCATGTAGAGCCCTCACAGATGGGGAATGGGATGGCACAGAGCGCATAGGCAGCAAGGCCATGAGGAGCTGGAGCAGAGGGGAAGGTGTGATGGATGGCAGAAATGATGCTGGACCATAAAGGATGGATGAAGGAGGGTAGAGCCCATGCTAAGGCCCAAAGGCAGAAAGGGTCTGGAAGCTCAGGAAGGGAGTCAGCTTGGGGAGAGGTTTGGGGGATAAGGCTTCCATCCCTTTACTTGCCTCTGTGGTTCTCCATACCTTCTGGGGACTTGGAACATCTATCGTTCCCTACCCAGGAGATGCAGAAGGCAAAATGTGCTGTGGACCCCCAGCAGAAGCCAAGATGAGCTTTCAGTGGCCTTCTAGCCCCATCAGGGTTCTTTGTGTGAGCGCTAGCCCTGGGACAGGTTGCAGTTGTACAGTAGCTATGGCTGCAGCAGGCAGAGAACAACTCCCAAGAGAGACAAAGAAAGAGGGTGGTAGCTCAGGGATCCCAGAAGGAAGCAGTTTGGGATCCCCAAACCTCCTGGTCCAGGGGAACACCCTTGAGAAAGGGGTAACTCCTAGGCCCCCAAGGCCCTGCCACTGCTCACAGCTGGGCCCTGAAGTCCTAGGAATCCCAGGTTGGAGATACAGGCCAGGGCTCTGACACTCATCTGGCTGCACAGGTGATCCTGGCACTGTCAAGCCATCTGGGTGCTGTGGAGTCAGAGAAGCAGAAGCTTCGGGCTCAGGTGCGGCGCCTGGTGCAGGAGAACCAGTGGCTGCGTGAGGAGCTGGCAGGGACACAGCAGAAGCTGCAGCACAGTGAGCAGGCAGTGGCCCAGCTGGAAGAAGAGAAGCAGCACCTGCTGTTTATGAGCCAGATCCGCAAGCTGGATGACGATACCTCCCCTAATGTGAGCCTCACCTAATCGGGGGACTGAGCCAGGCAGGGCATGAATAGCACCCAGCTCCTACCCAGCCCACTGACAGTTGGCCACCCATGCTGCTCCCTGACACTTGGCCTGTCTTCTCCCCAGGAAGAGAAGGGAGATGTCTCCAAAGACTCCCTAGATGACTTGTTCCCCAATGAAGATGAGCAGAGCCCAGGTACGGATGAGCATTTGGCTCTAGGTGGTGGGGAAGAAAGGATTGTGCACATTCCTGGGGCTCAGGACCCAGAGTTCATAGGAAATGGGGGCCAGATAGCACCTGTGTTCTTTCTTGCTTTATTCCCATTCACAACATCCTATCACATTAGAATTTAAAGGGAAAGTCTTCTGTTGTATCATGTATTCCCTGAGCTCTGCAAGGGACAGACATCACAAGAGCTCTGGGGCAGCCAGGCCTGGCTCCCCCTTTTGCTGTACCTCTAAGTCCTCTGAGACCACTGGGACAGTTCCTTTCCCCTGGGCCTTCTCTGAGGATCAGAGGAGACACATGGACAGACAGAGGCTAGCCAGCTCCAGGCTTGCCTTACTCATAATATTGAGTACACATCAGAGCCCGCTCTGTGGATGTGGAAGATGAGGTTCAGGGGTTAGAGGACTTGTTCTGGGAAGTACAGCTTATCATACTGGAGCTGAGACTCTACCCATTTTTTCTCCATAAATGGGGAAGGTGAGGTACAGTGGTTAGTGATTTGCCCAATGCCACGTGTCAAGTATGTCAAAGGCATAGCTGGAATGTGCCAGGCTACTCCAGTGGGCAGATGGCACACCTGATCTTCTGTCTTGTCCTGTAGCCCCCAGTCCTGGAGGAGGGGATGTGGCTGCCCAGCATGGGGGCTATGAAATCCCAGCGCGACTTCGCACTCTGCACAATCTGGTGATCCAGTATGCCTCTCAGGGCCGCTATGAGGTAGCTGTGCCACTCTGCAAGCAGGCACTGGAGGATTTGGAGAAGACATCAGGCCATGACCACCCTGATGTGGCCACCATGCTGAACATCCTGGCACTGGTCTATCGGTGAGAGCCCCCCTGACCTGTCATCTGTGAGAGCCCATGCATCTTAACACTTGTCCTGAGTCACTGACCCATGGTGCCTATTAGGGCCAGGACTTCAGCTCCAGGTGCAGTTGAGCAGCAGAGAGAGGAGCTTCATGGGACTGGGTTCCAGCCAGATGTGAATAGATCAGTCTAACAGAGGAGAAATGTTTGACATGAGCAGGAAGAGTGACACACAAGGATGCCAGGGTTGCAGAGAGTTAGCACAGCTTCTCCAATCACCCAGCCTCAAGCAGGGCCTTTGTGAAAAGTGAGTTGGCCCAGAACACAAGAGAATGGGAAAAGGTTTCTGTGCCAGAAAGTGGCATAAACCAAGCTCCTATGAACTACAGAGCAGGATGCACTTGAAGACTGTGTACAACTTGGGGGTCCTGGGTATGAGGCAGGGCCCTGATGGGGTTGCGTGTCGACTGTCCTAAACTCCCTGAGCTCCTGGATGGCAGGGGCTGGCCAGGCTTCCCCATGCTCTGAGTCCCACTCCCATCAGGCCCTGCATTGGTGACCCACAGGAGCAGTGATCACAGGAATCATGGGCACCTGGGGGCAGGTCTTGGGCTATAGGACAACCCTAAGCATGCTTGTGTCTGCTCCCAGGGACCAGAACAAGTACAAGGAGGCTGCCCACCTGCTCAACGATGCCCTGGCCATCCGGGAGAAGACACTGGGCAAGGACCACCCAGCAGTGAGTGAGGGCTGGGTAGTGGTGGGCAAGTTGCCCTCGACCCTATCCAGGTCCCAGAGTTCCTGCCTAGCAGAACCCTGGATCAGGATGCCTCTGTTCTCTTTTCTGCCAGGTAGCAGCAACACTAAATAATCTGGCAGTTCTGTATGGCAAGCGGGGCAAGTACAAGGAGGCTGAACCACTGTGCAAGCGGGCACTGGAGATCCGGGAGAAGGTGGGAATAGGCAGGGTTAGGGGCTGTGCAGGTCAGGGTCCCAAGCAGCTCTGAGCCCAGCAATTCACTCCTTTTCCCATTCTAGGTCCTGGGCAAGTTTCACCCAGATGTGGCCAAGCAGCTCAGCAATCTGGCCTTGCTGTGCCAGAACCAGGGCAAAGCAGAGGAGGTAGAATACTACTATCGGCGGGCACTGGAGATCTACGCCACACGCCTCGGCCCTGACGACCCCAATGTGGCCAAGACCAAGAATAACCTGGTGCTGAGGAGCCGGCAGGGCTAGGAGTTGGGAAGGAGGGAGGGAGCTCTAAAGTTGGAAAGGAAGAAAATGGACAGCTCAGCTCCTGGGTCCTACTCACTCTCTGGGTCTCTGCATCCCCAGGCTTCCTGCTACCTGAAACAGGGCAAGTACCAGGATGCAGAGATCCTGTACAAGGAGATCCTCACCCGAGCTCATGAGAAGGAGTTTGGTTCTGTCAATGGTGAGTATGGCCATCATGTGCCTCTGGTTCATCCAGTGCAGCCTCTGTTTCAGCTGTGAGCACCGAGGACAGTATCTCAGCTGGACTAGCCCTCATACCTGGGGGTCTGGCTAGTGGCCCAGCCTCACGTGTGGATGATGTCCATGGGAGCACACACCTGGCTCACTGTCTTGGCAGTATATACCGTGGCATACCCAAGATCTTGGCCCAGTCTTCTTTTCTGCTGGTCAACTGCTCCCCTTGAGGGCCTGGCCGAAGTGTCTTCCATTCTTGGAAACTACCTTGTAGCCCCTGGTGGTCAGTCATTCCCTGCTCCCAGATCCCTTGGAGCTTAGCCCATCATTCAGCCTACTATGTGTCTCAGGCCACTGGTCTAAGGTGTAAAGGCTCTGTCCTCTGCCCTCATCCATCACAAGCCCTTGATACAGATCTGTGACCTATTCATCCTCTGTCCAGAGGAGGGTCTGGGATGTTTAGAGTCCATTTTTCCTTTGTTCATTCAGCAAAGCCCAGCTCTGGTCCTTCCTAGGTGTCCTCTTACCCCATCCCAGACCTTAATCCTGTATTCAGTCCAATCTAGAGAGGCCTGTATTGCAGGCTGGTGATAGTCACCTTTCTGCCCGCAGGAGACAACAAGCCCATCTGGATGCATGCAGAGGAACGGGAGGAGAGCAAGGTAGCTCTACATGCAGAGTGTGAGGCTGAAGCTGGGATATGTGGAAGGGAGGGTCTTCTTCCACCTCCCTTGATGGTTCTTGCCCCCCCAGGATAAGCGCCGGGACAGCGCCCCCTATGGGGAATATGGCAGCTGGTACAAGGCTTGTAAGGTTGACAGGTGAGGGCAGCAGGGGCTGGGTTGTGGTTAGGGCAGATAGCAGGGAAATAGCTTCCTGGATAGGGCAAGGCCCAGGTTCCACACTCTATCCTGTCACCCCCAGGATATATACCTCTTTTTTGCTAGCTGTCTTTCAAGGCCCATTTTACAAGAAGGCTTTCTGTACCAGGAGAACCTGATTTTCTTACTCCTTGGTCTCCAAGCCTTTGGTCTTGGGAGCAGCATCACATGAGAGCCAGGCCCAAATCCTGGGGTGATTCTCCCAGGCCAGGAGAGATGACTGGGTCTAGCACAGGGCTGGATACATGGGTGGTTCCTCAGGGCCCAGTGTGGGCTGGATGTCAGACAGGCCCCGGGTCCAAAGGAACACAGTATTTGAGACTGTCTTGTTGTCCATCCACAGCCCCACAGTCAACACTACCCTGCGTAGCCTGGGCGCCTTGTACCGGCGCCAGGGCAAGCTAGAAGCTGCACACACACTGGAGGACTGTGCCAGCCGCAACCGAAAGCAGGTGTGGCTCTGTGCAGGGGGTGGGTGGAAAGGGACATAAGAGGCCCTGTGTGTGTTGCAATCAGGTCCTGATGCTCCTACCCCTCTCCCAGGGCCTGGACCCTGCAAGCCAGACCAAGGTGGTAGAGCTGCTGAAAGATGGCAGTGGTGGGAGGGGAGGCTGTCGTGCCACCCGAGACTCAACTGGAGGTGCTGGGCCTCGGTCTGAGTCTGACCTAGAGGAGGCAGGACCTGCAGCTGAGTGGAGTGGGGTGAGTGTGGGGGCTGGGATGGGTTGGGAGACAGACTGTATAGCCAGTGTGACCTAAGGTCAGGCCTGTCACCCAAAGGATGGCAGTGGCTCCTTGCGGCGTAGTGGCTCCTTTGGGAAACTCAGGGATGCCCTGAGGCGCAGCAGTGAGATGCTGGTGAAGAAGCTGCAGGGGGGCAGCCCGCAGGAACCACCTAACCCCAGGTGAGCCTTCACCCAGATGGACCCCTCCAGAGCCATCTAGTGACCCTAAATGAGCTCTTGATCTGTGTTCTGCTGGCCCAGGGTGACCTTCCCATTACCCTTGGGTGCTATCACTACCAAGTCTGTTCTCTCTTCAACCCCAAACTTCCCGACTTCATCATATCCACATGGGTAAATCTCAGCTGGCCTTTTCCCTCAGAATGAAGCGGGCCAGTTCCCTCAACTTCCTCAACAAAAGTGTGGAAGAGCCAATCCAGGTAGGGGCAGTGGGTGTCTGAAAGTGGGCAGCTGAAACCAGACCCCTGCCGCGGGGCCCTTGGGACCTAGGTCTGCATGTATTCCTGCTCAGCTTCTCCTGGAGCATGTCTCTTCATCCAGCGACAGTTTTGTCCTCATCCCAGGCCTGCTTTGGGCTGGACAGTGGCGGGGACAGATGAGGGGAATGCAATACCTCCCCTGCAGTGGACATGTAAGCCAGCAGTGCCAACACAGTAATATGGAGTAATCAGTGTGGCCTTGGGCCAGACCTGGCCACCTTGGGGATTCAGGCTGTGTCTGCCCTGAAGGCCTGGCTGGGTCAACCCCTTGGGGCCCCAAAAGCCCAGTAGCAACAGCATGAGGCTGATCAGCTGTCCCTCTGCCCACAGCCTGGAGGCACAGGTCTTTCTGACAGCCGCACCCTCAGCTCCAGCTCCATGGACCTCTCCAGACGAAGCTCCCTTGTGGGCTAATCCTGAAGAGGGAGCCAGTCTCCAGAGCCTCCATTCAGTACATCTTATCCCCCCAGCCCTGCGCATGGGCCTGCTGCTTGTCCTGCCTGTCTCTCCCAAGGTCCCCTGTCTTTTCTGTTCAATCTCAGGGTAACCTCCTCCCATTTCATCTCAGCCTGAGTCCTGGAGGCTGGGCCTGCCGGCTCCAGCTCTACCCTGTATTTATTCCTTCTAGCCGGGCCTCTCTTCCCTAGGTTCCAGCCAGCAGGAGGGGCTGGCTGGGGTCTCCAAGGGGAGGTGGCCGCCCACCCTTTCCAGACTCCGGAGTCAAGAACGCTAAGCACCTGATGCCCTGCCACTACCCCTACCCTTACTTCCACTTGGCCGTTGCTTCTGTATATAAAGAAATAAGTTATTGGCCTCTCTCCTCTCCTTAGTCCAAGGTACTCTTGGGCCCCGCCCTTCTCCAGAGGTACCACCCAGGCCTTAATCACCCCCATTCCGCTCGGTGGTATCACCCAGGCTCCTAGTTCTCAGGAGCAGCACCTACCAAAATGGTTCCTTGAACCGTTTTTGCGCTCCTGGCCTTCAAGGGATGTTCTGTAACCCGCCTTGCCCTTTTTCTGGGGACTGCAGGCCCTGGGGTCGCTATCTCACCCAGAGCTGGGCACAGCCCAGCATCCCGGCCTTATGCACTGCCCCTCCCAGGCACAGCCTGACCCCGCCCCGGGCACTGACCCTTGAGCCATCCTGCCACGCCACCTCCCACTCCCGCGGCTTCTCGCGGGGGCTAGTCATGCTCCCCTACCCCGTGGCAGGAGGGACCACCCCACGTGGTGGTGGTGGTGGGGTTCGAAGCGGTTGCTCTTTATTTTCAGATGTTGCTGTAGAAATAAAGATGGTTTGAACCTGAGCTGGGCTTGTTCTGAGGTAGAAGCCCAGGATCCCCCAGCGCCTCCCGGGGTGGGTGGGTGGGTGTGGGTGTGTGTGTGTG